CTGGACGCTCCAGGCCGCTGCCAGCGCCACGCTGGCCACGGCTCAGGCTTCGGCCCTCGTGGTTGTTTGATTAGGTCCGTATGAGAAGGAGCACTGCAGTGGAATGGGTGGGCTCTTTCAAGCAATATGTCGTGACAGAAGATAAGCCGGTGGCACTGTCAGAGCACGGCTACATACTGTCTAGTTATCATAGGAGCTCATCAGCTGTCAACAATAATATTCAAGAACTGGCATCTTTAGTTCTGACATGCTGTAACAGCAAACCGGACCAGCGTCCATTGAGCATAAGCCACGGGAACCACCAGCTGCAAGCCTTCGTCCTCTTCGTCGCCAGTTAGAATGACTTCAGAGAGCCCTGCCTACAATATGGACGACGGATCCTGGCGACCCTAATCCACAAGAGAGGATGGCACAAGAGCCTTGTAGAACCCTGTGGAACTTTGGCTCCTGGCTTCTCTGCCTGCTCCTCCTCGCCCGAAATCGCCTTCAACCTGAAATCGTTTGATACAGGTGACATGTCTGACATGTTCTGTCTTATGACTGCTGCACAAGTCTGTAATGAGTGCTTGGCCAGGCCTACGCTCCCCTCCCCGATCCCTTGCTCCATTGCTTCCCTTGTCTTCCGCTTGCTGGTGCGATGGGAAACTATGATTTTTGGATGGCTTGGGTTGGGCTGAAGGCACCAGGAAAACTCCCTGTTGCAGTAGTCGCTCTCCAAGCTTTCAAGGGTTCGTGGCTGCTCAGTTGGGATTTGGGGCGTCCCACGCCAGGCTCTCCTGAACCCGAAGGGATTGCGTTCGCTTCATTTTGTTTACACCGCCATGATGCGAAGCGAAAAACGGTCCTTTCGGGGCTTAACACAACAGAATGCCCTGGCCGATGTGCTCAACTGGGGGCCTCACCCGAAAAGAGCAAGAAGGAAGCCGAGTCCTATGACAACCTCAAGGGGTCAGCAGCGACTGCACTCATAAAAACATTCTGCCTCGCTCCATATATCTAACTTATCTAAACGCACAGAGGCTCCGGCAAAGAAGAAGACCAGAATAAAGTAGTCTGCTTGTAGACCTGCACAGCGGCTTGCATGGACCATTGACAGTTTGGAGAAGCAGCTGTCATCTGCACCTTGTGAAATTAAAATTGCGGAGCCGCCAGCGACGACGCTTGCGACCTGAGGCTATGGAACATGACATCCTTGCCAAGGGTGCGCAATCCCTCCAGAAACGTCCGATAGACATGCTGACATGCTGCTATGTATGCGGCCCCTTATGCTAGCTAGCAAGAGCTGCTACCAAGCTCTGTCTGTCGAAGCATCAGGTCAAGCACTGAGTGCTGCGCCACCGCAACGATGCTGTTGAACTTAATCCATTCGTAAATGCAGCAAGGCTGAAGTAAAAATCATAAGGTAAGTGCCACATCGCGACTCTTGCAGGCGCGATGCCGGATCCCGACCCCAGGCAACACAGTAAGATGCAAGCAATTGTGTCTTGGCTTGGCTCGTAGAAGGCCTTGCGATGGTTTCCGGAACAGAAAGCAATACGGTTGGTCTTGCGACCGGATGCGAGCTTAGTGTGTGAATACTTCGCAGTCGCCGGGAAGTTGCTAACGAAAATCTGTCAACAGAGAGATTGAACCAGCCGGGCTTTCCAGTGTACAAAAACACGCCTTCAGATATCTTGTCTGGCTCGATGTGGAAGCAGTGAGCTTAAGTTGATTACCAGGCCGTTCGATTGGAGGCCTCCCCTCGCAAACAGAGTGACCGAACACTTCCAAACCAAGAAATTCAAGGGATGGATTGCTGCCTTCCGGCTCCGATTAGGTGTATTTTCCCTTTCAGTGCTGTCTCTGTGACCCCGTTGCAAGCTCGGACTTGTCGCTCCGAGTTATCAGCCAACGGCCCCAGCCCCATCGTGAGGAAAGCGAATATGCTGATGCAAGCATGGCGTTCTCGCAACTAAGCTTCAGCAGTGAACTCGCACAAACTACTTAAATTAGCACATAACTCACATAACAACACACGGCAGCAACACTGCAACGACAGCGCCAACACTTTCAGGCATAGTACATCACAATGTCAGTATCCATGGTTGTGCTAGAATTTGGTGTGTTGTGACTACGTCAGGCTCTTGCACTACTGCTGCCGTTTGTGTACGGGATAGGTAATGCTAGATACTATGTCAGAATCTGGCGTTGGCTTTGTGCTGCAGTCCTCCAGTGGCCGCCATTCTGCGATCTCCGCCTTGCCTCAAAGCCACGCAGGAAGTCATACTACATAGTGCGACATGCATACAGATATATACATGGACGATGGATATCTCTGTCTGTTCACTCTGGGCGGACATGATATGCACATACATACATACATACGTACATACATACATACACGCACGAACTGCTCATCCTTGCTTGATCGCCTTGTAGCTGATATGTTCACAACACATCGAAGTGCACATCATAACGAAGTTTGCCAAAGGGGTTTGAGCCTCGGCTTCAACGCCAGTCTCGGGCACATGCAGTATGAGAGTGCAGCTGACTTTGAATCGGTTTGGGGCCAGAGCTTCTCGAACGCCTAGCTACCCAATTCCCCACGTGGTCCAGGCTTCTGAAGGCTTATGAACGGAAGGGTGAACCGATGAAGTAACCGGGGCTCAGCAACTCAAGGCAGCATAAGCTACTTCGGTCACGTCTAGCATAGCATTGTCACGGTATTGGTATAAGATGTTCAAGACAGCATTGGGTTCTTGTGGGCCCCTTGCTAGCTTCAGCTTCGGTCTTCTGGACCTCCGCCTCCTCCTCCTGAAGGTGCTGCAGACTTTGTTTCCATGTCCACATGTCCGACTCTGATCCGTCGTGCTCCGTCCTCTTTAGCCTCCAACTCCTCCGAGGGTGTCTTCACCTGCAGGTTCCGAAAGAAAACCCACTCAATGTCTATGCGAACTGACCACCAAAAGCAAACCACGGTCCGGCCTCTGTGCTGGGCTTCACCTCTTCCTGACGCGGCCAACCGATGCAAGGTCTTATTTTCCCTGCTCTTCGTGTTCCGTGACCACTTGGTAGAGATTGGCCGCAACGATGGCGCCTGCGCAGAAGAGGTGCTCAGCACGGCAACGCCGGAGTGTCCTTGCAAGTATTTCTCTCACATCGGTCCACAGTTGCTCCCACTCGTGTCCCTGAGCTGATCGAGGCAATGGCCGGGGCTGCATCTCCACGGTCGCGTGGTGGCCTACAGACTTGAAAACTGTTCCGAGATGGGTTGCAGATCAAAGGGCACTTGGCTGCCTCGCATCAGCGTTGGAGCTTTGGGAGAGGCAGGTCTGCTTCGCGAACTAGTCTGGTGCAATATGTCTCGTCTGTCGAAATCTCGAACCATGCATCAGTGGAGATTCTCAAACTTATGACGGGCTTCATCGTTTTAGCTTCGCAACTGCGAGGTCTCGGGCGGCCTGGGGGGCCACAAATGTCAAGGCTCGCAATGAGAGCAGGAGCCTCGGCCAGGCGACGACTCGCTCTCTCCTGGCGAAGGCCTTCAGTTCTGAGGACGTGGCAAGGCCAGCAGCAGGCCACCTCCGAGATCTAGTGAGAAGGAGCCGTCACCATTTCCACACTTTCGCAGATCAACGGGCTGTGTTATGTGCCTTGCCCTCTTCGGCGCAGGGTGGGCCGCGCCATGGCTACGCTGAGCGGACTTTCTTCAAAGTCTTTGGTGTGCGAGATGTAATCCAATGCACGCTGCTCTTCGGCTACCTTTCCCTCCTACCCGATGTTGATGCATTTCACAGAAACAGAGACGGAGAGTCAAATGAGTCAAATGTTCATAGAGAAATGAGAAGTTGAGGTCTGGAAGGACTGAGAGAAGACTCTGATCACACACGAATACCAGAAGCTGCAATGTGCAACTCCAGTGCACTGAACACCTGCAAGCAAGACTCAAATCTTCACCAGCTGTCATGACTCTCTGGGGCGGTCTTCGAGCGTCACTTCAGGCAACTGTTTTCGGGAGATCTCCTGCAGCACTAGGAAGAGTTCGCCCGCGAGTCATCCGCGAAGCCAGCCATGTGGCTTCAAGCTTGCTCGGTCTTTGAGATTCATGCGGAGCCGTTCGATTTGGACGTAGAACCAACTGACCATATGATAGCATAATTCGAGCTGATTTCTCGGAATCGTGGCTCCTGGAATGAGCGAGCTGTCTATGCACAGACCAGCAGTCTGTGAGTGCTTAGCAATCCAGGGCTACTTCCCAGATAGCATGCTGCAGTAATTGCCCCTTAGTGCCTGCATGATGCGATCAGCCTGCAATCGCGCAGTGTCTGATTAGTTCTGCACCGTCCGATTCCACTTCTCGGAGATCTACCTGCGCAGCACCGCAGCTTTCGCAATCTTGATGCCCGAGAGCAAAACTTACGTCAGACAGACATGTTAGGAATGTTCCCAGCATTCCACCAAACAAATTCAATGCATGCTCGAATAGTTCGGGTTTGGAACGGTCATGCAAGGAGTATGCTGCTTTCGGACATCGTAAACTTAACGTTTGTAGTGTCCGGTTCTCCACAATGCCAGGGGCCTGAATTTCCTGAATGTCTGAATAAGCGGACCTGCGTGAGGGAATGTTAAGACCGGGACACTCGCGAGGCTTGCATGAAGGCGTAGCGTAGTAGGATTTGTAGCCGCCGGGAGGATGAGGCGGACACTGTACTCTTTCTCATGTGGACTGTAAGGTTCTTGGTTCTTGGTTACTACCGGCGGGCTCCAATTTGCAGAGCACATGACTGCTGCGGGAACAAAGCTGAGCTCACACATTAGCATGTCTCAAGCTTTCTGTGCAAACACTCCCGCGCAATTTATTCTCAAGTTGGTGATGCATTTCCAACCACACTTAGACTTCGCTCTCTACTGGCTAAGGAGACCCTGAACAGGTCAGCTCTGACTCTTCTACCATCTTGTACCCTAGACGATGCGACCAATGACCAGAAGCCAGGGCTCAGGGCTCTGCATGGCTCTGCAGATCAGTGCAAGGGCCTCGACTTCTTTGCTGGGCCTCTGGGAGCCTTTACCTCGAAAGGTCTTGCAAAGCCCTCTCGGGACATGAGCTCATCAACAATCTTCGCGAAGCATCTCCCCGAGTCTCGTGCGGAGTGGAGGTACAAGATCACCGGATGTTGCGGGGACCTTGCACACTCGTCTGGCCTGTCTCTTCAAATCTGGACCCTAAAAAATTGGCCTGGGTACGTGAAGCCTCAACATCTTCAGCCACAAATGGCTACTGTGACCCGCGCTTTTCGCCATGCTGTGCAAGAGCAAGATCAAGAGCCGTCTCCTGTGATGCCGAGTCTATGCATGTGCGAGCTTGTCCTGGGCCGCAGCCAAAGAAAATCTCTTCATGAAGCCACATCTCCCGATGTTACCAATCTGAAGCTGTGAAGTGCAGAAAGCTCCTCTGCATTGTCGGCTGCAGCAATGTCAGCACCCATGTCAACCAAGTATTCCACCTCAGGTCTATCGTTTCATCTGTGCTGCTTGAACAGCCGAAGCATTTTCGACCAGCTTTTGTAGTATAAGTTGGCGCTGGTCTCAACCAGGTTATAACATGAGTTGGCAGCAAAGTCCAGAGTTGAAAATGGATCGTCATGGAATGGTATGTGCAGCTCTGCACCGTGCGACTTGTGCTCATGCAGGAAGACATACAGTGGTGCAGCAAGGCATAAAAGACTTCGAACCTGAGGGAGAAGAAGAGCACAAGCACACCGGAGGGCAGACAACCCCAACAGATAAACAGGAGAAGAATAACGGCAAGCTTGCCAGAAGAACCAGCAAGACTCAACATCATTCTGACACTGTGAAAGGCAGGGCGGCCATGAAACGGAAGAGCACGACATCTGTCCCACTGCATACGTTTCGCTGCTCAGGCCGAAAGATGGTCACAAGGCTGGAGTATGGGTGAATTGAGGCCGCGCACACATTCCAAGCTGCCACTGACCGCGGCGAACATCAATGGTGTCCTCGGCACCAAACCGAGGATGGGGACTGCAGGCTCTGAGAGTAGTTCCTGTCAGCACTCAATTCCCCAAGCACTCACAAAAGCAGGATGTGGCTTGGAAACAGTCATGTCCCCGGTCGTGTCAAACAAAGGTCGCGGCTGCAAGTTGTGATCTTTGCAGCAAATGTCAATCTCCTCATCCTGAAAACAACAGCGACAGCAGTAAAGATCACTGTCTGATGCGCGGTGTCTATCTGCGACGCTAAGGTGTGGATCTGCAACCGTTGATCTTACAAGGTGCAAGTAGAAAATGTCCTCTAGCAAATCCGCAAGTGCCACGACATCGCCGTCGTGTGCTGCCTGGTACCTCCAAGCTGTGGCTTGTGTAGACCAAGCTCAAATGGAGCTTGTGACTTCTGTGGATCCAAGACTGCTTCGCATGAGGAGGTGGATACTCTGAGACTCTCGACTGCTGACTTCGGGCTACCAACCAACGAAATCCCTCACCGAGCAGAACAGTTCTCTGCACAACTTGCACTTGCATCGATGTGACTGGCCAAAAACATCTGCAGCCGCGAATCTTCTCAGGTTCTCAGGCTTAGGCGGGGGTCTGTGATCGGACATTGTAACAATAAGGCCCGCGCAAGGCCACCACAGACTCGGGCATGCGCGGCGCTTTGGGGAACCTGATTTCATGCATTACCCCGTTTGCAACTCCGGCATCCCTGCTCGGGAAGGTGTGTGTGTGTGTGTGTGTGTGTGTATAGAGCGAGAGCGAGAGCGAGAGCGAGAGCGAGAGAGAGAGAGAGAGAGAGCCAGGTGAAGGCCCTCCGGCCTCCCTTCCCCTCCCACCCCTTGCCTGCACAACACCAGCATGATTTCGAATTGGGCAAGAGGCCACTGTGTTCACAGACAGACCTTGGCCCTTTTGTACTTCTTGCGATATATCGTGGACACATCTCTTGGATACGTGTTGGGCTGAGAGCAGGCACTTCCTCGTGCCACCTGAGGCCCTGTTGGTCGCTTTCTGCGAGTTCTGTGCAATGTCACTGCTACGGGGTTGGGTGTGTGAGTATTTCGAAATCTCAACTGTAGGTAACATGGAACACTCAACCCTATCTGACATGCACAGCAGCTACCATATCGCAGCTAAGAGTAGAAGCTGTAGCTCACTGTAGCTCCAACACGTATAAAACGGCTGACATCCAAAGCTCACTCCCAGGTTCATCCCGAGAGCTCCCAAGCGTCACATGTGTTTTGTCTCCGAGCGCTCGGCTTTCCCCGGGCGAGCTCCGAAGCCTCTGCGGCATCCTTGTCCTCACCGAGGCGAAGGTAGACCTGAAGAAAAGCAAGCAAGCGCTGTTCCGACCGAACGACTGCTGTCGACTTCTGCAGTGCTACGCTAGTCTTCAACCTCGCTGAAAGTCCAGAAGCTATTCAGCAAGCTTCTTGTTACACGTGTGCCTCTGTCCTGACTGGTCCTTGTCGACCTTTCTGGATGCGGTATTAAACCATCTTATACGAATCAGATAGTCTGTATCAACGTGTAGTGTAGTGGAGTGGTCCTGCTGCATCGAGCAATTCGAGGGAGCCTCACATAGCCTTTTCCGCTCGTGGTCCCAGGCGTCAAACGCCGCCAGCCACACCTCCGCTCTGCTCTGAGGGGCACCGGCAGATCCTACGAGAAACTTTGAGAGAAGGCCTGCCATACCGCAGTAGAACAATTGCGCTACTGTTGCACTGCTGATCATCGTCATTTACAGCTGCATTGAAACACTGATTGCGGCATGCTGGCAGTGATCAGCATAGCGAATAGTGATCATCCCACGAGATGGATTGAGACGATAGTGCCAACACGAAGTCTCAACGGATCCCTGTGAATATCGACGCAGTCTGAAACATAAACCAGATTGATGGAAAACTGAAGAGGTGCGTGGCTGTGCTAAGGGCGCATTGAATTGGGCGCCTCCCAAGCCTTTCGGCCCTGCGCCCACGAGGAGTCGAAGTCCACAGGGTATTCCTACAGCGAGCAAATGACCCAGTGCCGAGTGCCTGGACCTACTGAACGATTTTGTGGTGCTCTTTTTTTCGCCGATGTTAACGGAAGCAGCTCCTTCCACAGCTTATGGCATTGGCTCACTACATGCTCTCCAGCTTCATGAAGAGCACGGCTACATATTCCGTGAGGCAAGGATCTGAACTCAGGCTGAACCGCGACTGCCATCTGGCGATTGTACTCTCCTGCAGGACTCTAATTTTCGATGTGATCCTCAGAGTGCCCAGGTCCCCTTCTGGCAAAAGCGAAAGAAGTTGCCGAGAACTGGCTTTTCAAGGCTGGAGCCTTGAGACTTAGATAAGAGTCGCCGGAAAGGACGCCTTCTTGTAGCCTGGTAGTTACCGACGTGGCCCGCCAGCTCTGCGGGCTCTTCGGCTCCAGCAGCGCAATTTGCGCACGAGCACTACATGAACAACCTACAGGGAGCCGATCCGGGCCACTGGGCGAGAGCAAGCATGTGCTTTGCAGCAGTTTTCGTGGCAGGATAAGTGCTTAAGCAATCATTGCCTCAGTGCTCGGAAAGCAGCCACAAGACGAGCAGCACGTACATAACATAACACCTGTTCACTCCCCGAAGGCTTGATCAAAATAATCCAGCCAGTGATTCGTCAATTGGAGTCCATAAACAGTTTAAGCTCGTGTTGTAGCAGCTGGCTGCAGGATTGAATTGCAATCGACTCTAGATGCACCCATGCCGTGATGTTCGCCCTCCGGTGGAACATACCGGACAATGCTGGGATGACTGCTATGTCTATGTTCTTGCATGCCATCTTCCTGCACTGATCTAGAGTCCTGCTACGAGGATCCCAACATGGGGTCTAGAGCACCGAAACTTCGCCAGTGCTTCGGCCGACCTCAGCGAGAGTCGAACACCAACACATCCTCTGACACTTCCTGCTCAGCACCCGGCCATACCTGCAGCAACGTGTGAGAACCTGGCGACCAAGCATCAATGCGGAGACTTCAGAGCTCTATGCTCGCTGCACATGACCCAATGGATAAGAGTCGCAGCCATGTTTTTATGGCAACAGGTATTTCTCAGCTCTATCACATCTCCAATTCTGCACATGTGTCCGGACACAGCTGGCCTCACACTGGACATGATCCGTATGCATGCGATCCAAAGCCTGGGAGGAAAGGGACAGAAATGTGGCAACTTTGCACCGTCATGAGAAAAATGAAGACTTGGCCCACGTGTTGCGCGGCTTAGAGCCCAGACGGGAGGGCACCGAAGATGAAGGACTGCACCAGGCCACACAGGGAGACCTCCAGTTCGATGACCAACCACCTGGCATTTATTACCATGGCATGTGCAGGGTACTGGAATGAAGTTTTGGAGAGCGCTGCATGGTGGACACATAAATCTTGCCAGAAAGTCATCAACGGCAAGTTCCTCATCTTCCAGTGTTCATCCACATTGCCCTCCACACGGTCCTCACCGGCAGCGTGAGGCACACAGCAGAAAATGGCTAAGGTCAGGAAGGCGGTGGGGGGGGGCTTCAATGCAAAACATCCCTTTGGTGTCTTGTTCTCACCCTTCTTCCGGTGTATCATGAGGACAAGATGATGTGAACCCTAAACCCTAAACCCTAAATGAAAAGGTCTCTTGGGAGTCCCTGCCTTCACCATGTGAAAGTAGATGGCCCCCAGTCCCCCCGACAAGATGCTCACGAACCTCAGAGCTCGGGCCCAAACGGCCTACTATTCAGGGCAGTATAGGGTCCCCTATTTAGGGTCCTGTTAGGGTAGTATATTAGGGTTTAGGGGTACCTGGTTTTGGGGTCCTTATAAAATAAGGATCCTACTATTTGGGGTACCATATCAGGGTCCCCTATTCTTCGGAAACTACCATGTGAAATTGGCCTCCGCGAGGCAGAGCCACGAGGCGACAGCTTCCCAGGTGGCCAGGCTTCCGCAGAATTCAACCAAGACATGGGTGGTTGTCAAAACTGTGGTCCCTTTGTGGGTCCCTAATAATTATAATACGGCACCTAATATTTAGGGTACCCAAAACGGGACCATAAGTTTGACAACCACCCACATACCAACGTGCACACTTCGCGTGCGATTTCAATGGTCAAAGACAAGATGCGTGACAGGCTTATGCATGCTGGAATAGCATGAGGCTCCCGCGCCATCAGGGCCGTCCCACGTTGCTGCAGGAAGACAAGGAGACTATTCCTGAAGGGGCCGCATAGCACTTTACTCGGAGCTTTTGGCAAACTAGCTACAAGCATCCCGCCGCTAAGACTGCTTGAGACGTTGGTGCTATCAGTCGAAAGACTGGCGGACCGCAGCGCCATCGCAAACTCCAAACTGAGGCTGACACCGGAGTACTTGCTCCTGTGTTAGGTCCGCCGTACTCCAGGAACCGAGGGGACACATCCTGGACAAGTGCAACCGACGAGCAGCACAAGCAACCACCGAGTGGTCCCAATCCAACAAGATGTGCTCAATAGCTGCATGCTTGACGCCCTCAAACATGAGACCCGAGGGTTCCTTAACCTAAACTGTGCAACATGCCGAACTAGTCTGTGCCTCGAAATCCATAAACCAACGCAACACTGCAGTGTAAGATCATGTTATGGTTGTGCGGGTTTCGGGAGCTACCATCGTGGATTTTTCGGATCATCCCTGCAGCTCTCAGGCCCTATCCACATTCCTTTGCCTTCGACATCTTGCAGCCTGGAGGTTTTGAGCTCAACACATCTCAAAGCTGAGTGCCGAGTTACTGGGGAGCCGCGAAGAGCTGCAGGTCGCACCAGGACCTGTTTGAGCAAGCTTCTTCCTACAGTACACCCTCGAGGCAATTAGTCAATCCATGAGGAAGCGAAACCTCTGAAAATGCTCCGATATTTCATGTTCTCATCTTCCACCCCGTCACTCCACCCAGCCAAGAACAAGCCCCGTCTCTAGACAGAAGCTGCGTGAAGCTCAAGGTCTGAAGTTGGACACGAACTAGCTTGAACGATCACTGCTTGCAGGACGGTTGGGCCATGATCTTGAGATTTTCCCTTTGCCCATACGACCTCGAATCAGGGTACAATGTCGCACCACGACATGTACGTGACAAGCCTGGCCCAGCACACTGACTTGGCAAACAACTGTGCAATCTTAGGAAATCAAATCATGATATTGTGCAACCTGCTGCCAGGTCCACTCCACGCTTACAGAAACTACCAGGGCTGTGGTCGCGGAGGGCGCACCCGAACATGTAGAAGTGGATGACAATCTGCGCCATGACATTCCACACGGCCGCGACACCATTCACGAAGTGCGTCTGTCCAGAATGCACGTCATATCATCCAGTCCGGTTGGCTTCACTTTACGGTAGCTGTTTGATGCTTCAGCAGCGTCGGTACCTATCTGATAAACTAGCAAGAGCGCAGGCAGTGCTATCAGCGTGAGATATGGTACTGGGCCGGAACCGTGGCCACCGCAGAGCTCGCCTGCATAAAGTCATGTTGTCCCCTTCACCGGCGTCGCTGGCCCGTTCATCGGCCCCCCAAACTCAACAGGAATTGTAGCATGATTTGGCCCTTGTAACCCGGAGTGTTGGGAGAACGCCGAACATGCTGGCCACGGGTGGGCCAGTGCGGCCTACAACGTGACAGACAAGGTGAGCAGGAACCCGAAAACGAAGCACGTGCTTGACAAAAATCCTCGCTGCACGACAATCAAGGAGGAGGGCGCGCCCACAGATGGTGCAAAAAAATCGCCCGCACTCCCGAGTCGGGCATGTTTGAGGCAGCCCACCCATAGCAACCCCTTCGCATGAGTTGTTTGGATGACGGCTTGAGTCCCAGAAGGCCGCCTAAATGCCAGCCTCCCATAAACACCTACACATTCAGTACCGTCCTCCCTGATTACACGTCTCGTGAGCCTGGGAAAACTTGGCCAGGAGTGGCAGCAATCGCCACAGGAAGACCAAAGCCTGCCTGGCGATGAAACTGGGAGAGGCATGTGACGGTGTGGCCCCTGCCACCGAATCTCCATCAGCCAGCCACTGAGACGAGCAACGACCGGAGTAATACAGTTTATGACGGCCAGACATGTCAGAGTAGCCAGAACTTCCAGGCCTACAGGATCGAAGCTCCAACACTGCCAGGAACGAGAATGAGAGCACCTCAGATTCCATGAAAGCCCGTGTGCAGTATCAGTGCTTTTAATTGGGGATCTTAGCTGGCTTCATGGATTCATCTGCAAGGGTTTCGGTTGGCTTCCGACAAGCAAAGGTTTTACTTAGAGGTTCGAGGACACCTGCTGCTACTGCAAACATTTTCGTCTCTTAGGGTTCGGGTTTAAGGTTTGAGCTTTCCGTGAAGGGTCTGCAGTGGAGCCCCTAAGCTTCGACGGACAAATGCCGAAGAAGCACTTTTTATTTCGGTTTTGTTTGCAGGCCTCTGGTTTCGGCGCTCCGGCGCGCAAGGCTTCAGCACTCACACTCGCAAGGTTTAAGGCTTAAGTTTAAGGCTTGTCCAATTGGAAATATACTGTTGACGTTTTCTTACGCAGGGGCCGCCAAGCATCTGGACCTTGAGCTTTTGGAGCATCGGCTCCCGACTCCGAGGCTCCGACGTACACGACTTCACTAACTCCCAAGGCATGGCGCTTCGCCTGCAGCAGGTGGGTCGTGGATGCTCCGTAAGGCTATCAGGCTCTGAAACGGAGTCTGCATGACTGTGCCTGTGTCCATCGGCTCCAGAGAGTCGAGCAGTACCTGGCGAGCCGTTTTCTTCAATTCGTTTCGAGTGGTTTAGGTCTCTGTCCACATGCACCGATCGGCTTGTTCTGCACAGTCAAGATCGCTAGTTCAGCAACCATGTTCGGAAGTGCAAGCGGAATGCAGCTCGGTCTTGTCACGTGTCAACTTCTGCAGCATTCGGTGATGAGGTTTGGACGTGTCCTCCTCAGGCGTGTAGTTGAGAACGGGAAGGAAAATCGGCACGCACCTCAGACTGCTGCAGGTTTGGGACCAATAATCAAAAATCACCCCGGCCATTCTCCCAGGATCATTCATGAAACCTGACACAGCACTCGATTCAGGTGAAGGTCGAAGGACAGCTACATCATAATACATGCCCGCAACACAATCAATCGGCGCCGAATCCGACAATGAGAAAGGCAACGCGACACCGAGCGGTCCGGAAGAAGCATCATGCCAACGCCAGCTGCTGCAGCCCGGTCGAAAACTATTTCTAGCAAGCCCCCGGAGGCTTGTACCCTACTATAATACTAGAGTATGATACTCTGGGCATCTTGGAGTATTGTGAGGTCCACGCCAGCATCTGGGAGCCCGGACTTGGCCCTGCCCATTGTCTTGAGGCTGCACTTGGCGAACATGTGCCAGTCCTTGCCGCACTGTGTTTTAGTACCTTTGGTGCGGCTGTCGCAAAAAAATGGCGGAAATTGCTATTGCATGAAAGTTTTGACAGGCTACCTGCTTGGCTGACGACTGTCACTGCCGTCAACGCTTCGAGTCTTGCTGCATTGCTACAGTCTCAACCGAACCCTTCAACATCGAACATCTTCGGGGTGCGAGTGTTCGTGCAGATGTTTGGCGCAACAGCAGCGTTGCTCCTCTGCCAAGTACTCGGGATCCCAGCCACCGACAGCGCATGCGAGCGCCTGGGTGTGAAGTGGCTTCGTATCCAATTGGATGCTGGAGCAGGGCGTGTGGATGCTCCTCGTGGGTAAGTGCGGCGAGCTCACCGGGGGAATTTGCTAAAGCCTTCCAACCTGATTTCTTCCCTTCCCCACAAACATGCCCATGTCCGGCAGGCACATGGCTTGGCTTCAGATCGGCGACGGTTTATAAGGTCCCGGCAAAGCTGATCGAGTAGCTGGAGTAAGGTACCTCAAACAGGTTGTGATCGCCACGTGCTGCCTGTAGATTTGGTGGATGCACGTTACACTTTCATAACTCATAAAGTGATCTGGAAACAGCAGCATCAGCAGTAGAATACAAGCAGTATCACTGGCAGCAGCAGGAGGAGTAGTGGTAGTAGTAGCAGCAGCGGCAGCAGCAGTAGTGGTAGTGGTACTAGTAGTTGCAATAGCAGCAGCCGGAGGAGTAGTAATAGTAATAGTAATCGTAATGGTAGTGGCAGTCGTAGTAGAAGAAGTAGAAACGAGTAGTCGTAGTAGTAGTCGTCGTAGTAGTATGGTGGTAGCAGCAATATCCGCCGAGGCCACAGGCCCAGGCGTCTTGGGGGTTACCTCAAGTACCCGCCACCTAATCCTCCGCGGTCCAAATGTTTGGGGACACCCGCTTTTTGCATTCCTTTGCCACCCCCTTGCCCGGCTTCCCTTCATTTTACCTGATTTGTTGGCCTCGCAGGCCCCCCCCCTCCCCCCCCCCCCCCCTCCCCCTCCCCCCCCCTCCCTCCCCCCCTCCCCCTCCCTTCCCCCTCCCTCCTCCTTCCGCCCCTTCCCCTCCCTCTTCTCCGCCTTCTCCTTCTCCCGTGGGTGGGCTTAAACTCTTGCTTCAATTTGCTTTTCCTTGTGTGCAGGCTCCTTCCGTCTTGTCATTTCCTGTTTTGCGTGGTCGGGAAAGGCTTTAACAAGTTTGGAGGAAAAGAAGCACCCCCCCTCCCCTCCCTCCCCCCCCCTTCCCCTCCCCTCCCCCCCCCCTCCACCCCCCTTGTGCCCGTTCTCCTCGCACTTCTATCAACTACCGTGTAAAGGTGGGGTTTGACAGGCCGCCCTAGCATAAAAAAACATCGACTGCCCCCTCGCCCTGCCGCTACACAGCCGAGGCGGGCGGCGTAGCGTTAAAATTATGTAGCAGTAGCTGGAGGAGCGGCAGCAGCAGCACTAGCAGCTAGCAGTTAAGACTTAGAACGATAACAAGAAGATTAATGGTGCTTATGGAGAGCCGGAAAGCCAAACAGACTTTTTCATGGTGGTCACCGCCGTGCTACTAATCACAACGATTGATTAAGAACAAACCTTCCTGTCGTTCCAACGGCGACAATATCATAGATCATCTGCAATGGTACTGCTTCAACTCGGGCTGAGCTTGCGACGTGGCAATCCCACGGGTTTGCTAGGCCTTGGAACACCAAGGGCTCAGGTTTCAGCACTCACAGCCGGACATGCCTGGCGAGGTTACCCGTCCGAGGTGCAGCACATGAGTGTGAGGGCTTACGGTTCAAGGTTCGTTGTGGAGCCAGAGATCTCAGAAGATCAATGTGGAGACATGGGATAACCACTGGGCATCGGACAAGACAGCTCATTCAGAGTGGAAAACAGCGAGGAGATTCTGACGAGCAGCGGCTGCCTGCCACGACCACAACTGCGCAGTGCTGCACCGAACTCTCTACTGTAGCCAGCCGCACCGAAAAGGTCAAAGATCGTGCCGGGCAATGGGTTCGACCGACCGTGGCCAGTGCCAATGTCAAGTCCTTCCCCCGAACAAACCACTCCAAGCCTCAGGAAGTTCTTGAAGTGGCAGATGGGGGGCTGCCACAGATTCAAGTACCTCAGCTTATGCACGCGATGCAGGTGGCGCGACCCGTACACAAGTGCGCTGGTGAATGATGGTCAGGATTTAGCAGGAACCGTCATCCAGGCACGTCAGGCGAGCTTCTCAACCGGAAAAACAAATCAAATCCCAGCAGTGCGTCCTGTGTCTATTATCCCAGTGTCTGCACGAATTGCCCTTATGTGTCTCCCGACCCGGCCCGGTACAGCACTCGTTAACTCAGGAGAGCTAAGTCATTTGCCTTCTGCTGGGCCCTGCTGCTACGAAGTGGTGGGTCAGCGCCTGGCCGGCGACAAGAGGTGAGGTTTGCTTAAGTTCATGAGTCTTGACTTCTTGACTAACTGCCCGAGGGCCTCGAAGTACTTGCCATGCATGTCCGAGTCGTCATCTATCACCGTGATGACCTCGGTCTAGCTGCCTGGCCCTGCAGCTCCCCTCGGCGAAACCCTGCGGCTCGGCCCTTCAAGTGAGCGTCGCGCAACCCTGGGATCCTCCGGCATGATCTGGTAGACCTGCCAACTGACTGGAGCATACTGGAGCCAGGCGTCCTGTTTCTTCACCCCGCACACACACACACACAGAGCATGGTACAGTAATCTGATGTGGCAGACCAGCTCGACAACTCCCGGGGCACGCCACGTCCCTGCTGTGCCTCTTCCAGCTCTCTGCATAGCTGTTGAAAAGCCCAGCACTCGTTGGAAGACCTCGCAGAGCAGTTGCAGAAGTCTCTCAGGGGCTTTCTCAGCTGCTGAGTCCTATGACAAGACGGAAGCGGGTGCAAACAGCTCGGCTGGCGAGGTTCTGGCTTTCCAGGCAGATGGTTTGGAAGGTCGGAGGGATGGTACGTCGCATGGATGAAGCGAAACCTCAGATGCATGACAGCTTAACCCACCAATGCTGCTTCAGCCGAAGCCCATCGTTGTACTGAGGAAGTCGTCCTTTCGAGTCGTGTACTGAGTATCGTTAACGCGCAGACTGAAAAGTGTGCAGGAAGAACTGGAACTGAGGGACCAAGACCGACGGGGCCCAGGCGTATCAGCAAACATCTGTCTCAATGACTTTTCCTGGCTCCACAGTCATATGCTGATACTGTAATTAGGTCGGTCCTGCCTCTTGCGAGTCTTTCTGTATGCCAACTTGAGGGTTCATGCTGCAAGTTCAGGTATCACCCGACATGAGCAAACCACTGCAAAGGGGACCTTCTCCTGCGCTTCTTCCTCACGCTCCTGCATGGAAAGGCCAGTGAGGTGAGAGCCGGAACATCGCTATGAAGCACATCGGGGGGTCAACTGCAGTGTACGCCTCGAATGCCAAGCAAACGGCCAGCTGCCCTTTCGCCTGGCTGTACCTGGGTGCTTGCTGGATTTTGGAATGCTCAAAACAATTTCCCACATCTTTGACCCTGTCGCATTCCCACCCGCACTGTCTGGGTGCTTTTCTGAGGGCAGGTCTGAGCCAACGAAGTCAACCTGTCAGCTCGGGCGGAATGCTCTCTGTAGGAGTACCACTCATTTTCGTATAAACAGATGCTCCCAATAGACCGCCCCTGGCTTGTGAGCTGCGCTCCTCTAAGGCGGGCACGTATGCTCCAGCACCGTCAAGGGAGTGCAGAAGGTGGGAAGCATCACCACATGCAGCACATCGCACCTAAAGTGGCTGCAAGGCTCTGGGTCGTCATATTCTACGCTGTGAGTTCCTGATAGAGTTTGAATTGAACTGGGGCTTGTCGATTAGCCTGGCCAAGATGCTCAGATCTAGCTTGGTCCACTCCCCTTATCCCCCTCCCAAGCCGCCCAGACCGAGTGTCCGGCTTTCTGGTTTCGACTTTTTGGCTCGATTCTTGGGGGTGGTTAGTTCCTCCCATTTTCAGAGTTCTGCCGCGGGTTGGCCCAGGAGTTTGGGCTTGGGTGCCAATCCCCTGCGTCCCCTTTACCCGGGTCTCCTCCCTTCTCTGTTCCTGCCCCCTTCCTCCTCAGACTAGTGCCGAGCCATGATCCTGCGAACTGAATGAGTATAGCTTAAATCATAATATGAACCCCCTTATAGTTTAAGGTATATTCAGGTATATTCCTTAATTAAGGGGGGTATTGGGCTCTGTTGTACTTGCAACGCGTGAAACAGCTGCGGACCGCGTATACGGGAGCTCGAGACCGGCTCCGAGAACTCTCGCGCTGGATTTGTCAAACTACCGCAGTCCCTCGGAACAAAAAAGTCAAAGGTGAAAAGGAGGGACCCTTAATGGGGCCCCCTACCCTATAATGGGCTATATAATGGGTATATAGTAGCTCTATTAAAAAATCATGCCGGTCTGGTCTAAAGATACCGGCATAAATGACCAGGATTTTGAGTTGCTGTGCGAAACTTCTTTGTTTATAGACACTGGATGCACAGGTCGTCCATACCCTTTTTGGTGTATGCTCCTTGTCCTGCGCCTTTTTAACAAACAGCTTCATAGACGAAACGTACAAAGCTTCGCCTGATGCCGGGATTTTCGATAGCTTCAGCAGTGCCACTGAAAACGCGATCAAGGCACAGCCTCAAGGCCCTCAAGGCCACGTTGGTGTATATGAAAGCTGCTTTAACCAAAGCTTCACCATGCACTTTCAACTGTTTGCTACGCCACTACAAAACCCACTATAACTTTGGGCGGGCCTCTACAAACATTCTTTCTAGTCTCTGTGATGCTCCGTGCATCCTCCCCAAAACATGTACACATGCACGTGCTTGTATATGGGAGTTTCCGAAGATTAGGGATACCTTGTTTGGGGGTCCTACTATTTAGGGTACTACATGTTGGTCTTCTATTTTTCGGAAACCCCATATAGTTTCCCCAAAACTATTCGCAATTAATCATGTGGAACATTGCGGAACCATAGTCATGAAGGGTTTCACTGGTCAACATGCCAAACTGCTCTGCCGTACAAGCTGATTCCACACGGCTTCTTTGGAACCGCTGCGAAACTCTAAGGATACCAAGAACACGAAGGTACTTCACTTGCATGCAGAAACGACCACTGAATATTTCTCCACTTCCCACGTGTTTGTTGTCGCCCATACATCTCGTTGCGGTGGGGGAGAGCGCGAGCAACATACCGCATCCCTCGCGTAACGCACTGTAATTATTGGTCGTATTTCTTAGAATTAGCCACCGATAAGAAACGATCCGGCAGACCAGGAAGCAGGTCATGCCGCTCAAGTCTCGATCTGGGCTTCTGACGCTGTAATGTCCTCGCATGGCACATGCCCGAGAGATGCGAGTGCGACATGGTTTGGCGGAAATGTACATAATGAACATAAATATGAAGTTTCGAGCGATTTCTATAGCGTGTGCAAACCCAAATGCAAGTCAACGCAGTGGCTTGCTGAGGAGGTGTGGGGCTGCCAGCCGCTTAGGCACAAGCTCAGCAAAAGCTTCGGCACTTGCCTTCTGCGGCCACTAGCAGCAATAGCAGCCCCGGAACATGCACTGCATGCAATGACGAGTCCTCCTCATCATCAGCATGAGCAGCCGGCTGCCTGACAAGTGCAGCAAGCAGCTCAACCACACATCATGAAGCCGGGAAAACAATAGACATCAAAAGTGGCCATTTTGCTGTGTCGATCATAAACTGCTTTCGTCTTGCTTCTTCTGCCACATCATCGCCCCTGTGCGCTGCAGTCTCTGGCAGCTGTTCTTTCTTCTCGGCTTGGGGTGAGGGAGGCCGTGACCACTGTCGCACTGCCAAATGGCGGATGAGACTACATCGTGAAGCAAAGAGTAGCGCTAGGAAGAAAGATGAGAGGCAGGACAAGGAGGTGACAAGCTTGCAGCTCGTCCGAGCTTGTTGCAGCACGGCATTTTTTGACACTCACGCTGGGGCAATTCCAGGCGAGGTTTGCAGGCAATACGAGCTGCAGGATGCTGCAGTTCAAGTAGGACGGTCTTAGGTATTCGAAGCGAAAGAGAAAAAGCTGTACAACTGAGCTTGGCGCGGCCTGGTCAAATATGTAAGCGTGTATGTGTCTCTATGTATATATATATATGTATACACGTATAGACATACATACCGATATACCGAACCGCATTCATGCATGCACATATCACATTATATCCTCAGCTCCAGCTATCCACATCGCAAAGCATGTATCTGAAGGAGGCGAGTGGCAGATTTCACCCAATCAGAACCAGCTTCATAGCTTCCAGCGACTACAAGTCGTTGCTGAGCTTCCGGCAGGGCCGCCGCACGGGCAGCCCAGTCCTCCCTGCTTTCGTGAAAAACCTGCACAGACGATGGGACTTTCTGGCTCGAGTGCAAGTGAAATCACAGTCTGCGACGAAGACATTGCAGGTAGGAGCGAGGCCCTCAGCAGCCCAACCGCAGCGAAAATCAGGAATGTCACGCACCTGCAAATCCGTGGCGGCACGAAGTGTATGCTCTTGGCAGAATCTGGGTCTAGTCACCAGACTACAAAATGGAAGCTGTCTTCGGACATCGTAGTGGGATCTAAGATGAAAGTAAAGCGGCGCTGGATTGCACTCGTACACACCTGCATGAAGACCCTTGCATCAACTCCAGCTGTTGCGGCGCCGACAGACAGGTTGGCTGCGCCAGAGCGAGCCCCTTTCCGAATTGTTACGTTCGACTTCAGACCCGGTGTTCCGGCTGGTGACAGTGACGAGATCAAATTCAAGGGGCGAAGACAACAGCGGAAATGCCTGGTTTTGCCTCCGCAAAACATGGCAGCTGCACAAGTGAAGCATATAGAAGGTGAAGAGCCTGCATGTCGTATCCAATGCATCAGGCAGCAGAGGTCATGGTCGACAGACTCCAAAAGGTCCCAAAGTTGGGTACTTGGTGCTGTACGTCAGGGCCAGCAGCACGCCCCAGCGATATTGGCAAATCGCACAGACCTCAGGAAATACAGCGCAACCGACAGGGAAAGTTTGAAACAACAGCCTCGATCTGCAAACACCTATTGCAGATCCAGGCATAAGGCCTGCTGTGCGACTGCATTCCCAGGGGTCCCGGGGGTGGAGAAAAGGCTCAGTCAGATGTAGTTCCGCGTGACACACATTCTGTGGAGGAAGATTCTGCTCTTAAGGATGTGGCCAGCAAGCTAATTGTGCCGCCGTAGATCACCAACGCGGGCCTTGCCGTCAGGTTGACTCGAGACGAAACGTCTCAGAACCGGCAAGCTGTGTGGCTTCTGTGCTGCCCTGCTTGTCTTGGGAAATGCTCACGCTGCATGCCGCTAGCACCGATACTGGCACCGCCTAGCTTAGGGTCCCGCGAAGCTCGCGCCAGCATCCGCATAGCGTGGAAGGCAAAACGCCTGCAGTTTCGGGTTTGCGCAGTCCCTCAAGGAAGAGTTCCACTTCACAGCACTTGCACGTGTTCTGCACCGGTCACTCAACATTTGACAGCCCCAACCTCCAGCGATTCGTGATGAGCTCATCTTGGTTGAGCTCCAGCACCTTTTGCGAGCGGATGCTCACGGCTGCACATGCCGGAAGCTTCAGAATGATGCTGGAGGCTGGAGGCTCATGGGTTCCACGCTAAACCTTTGTGGCCGGACTTCGGCTCTGTCGAAAAGCCAGTGTAGATATGTAGCTGCTTCATGACCCAAAATTTGCAGGCGTCCCTTTTCAAGGATCACAACAGTCCGAGACACAATCATGCAATGCAATGCCTTATCATGTGGAAGTCATCAGAGGACTCAGCAGACATCCCCGAGGAAGTGGCCGACAGCAGCGTGTCAGGATTCTGCAGCATGGCACATAAAGCCTCGTCCGCCTGAGAAAGCGAATTGCGACGGGAATCCACATAGAAATCTACGTATTACAGTACCCTTTTCATAATACCCTTATTATGGTTCCCTCATTTTTGCTCCCTTATACCCCTTATTATAGATTCGTAGCGTTGACACGAGGGTGTCACCAAGGCCCGAGCCTCCGTGGGATCTGGCACGGTCGTCTCCCGTGTGGTGTCTGCCTCCGCCGGATCGTCGCAGTCCGAAACCAGCAAGACCTCGGTCCAACGTCGGCTCGCCTGCTGCAAGCTTTAGAGCGATCGCTGCAGCCAAGGTGTCGACAGATCTGCTAAGCTTTGTCGGTTCCTCGTCTGCAAACTGCTGCTGTGACACCTCGGACAAGCTCACCGAAAGACACTGGGAGCGAACACTGCGGTTCAGGAATCTATGCGCAAAAAGCAGCCTGTCAAAAGCTGTTTGTGGCCATGCACCTTGCTGTATTCATGAGTCTGCTGGTGGAAGTGGAGGCATGGAAGCGTTTCTTGGAAGCACCTTCAAGATGACCCTGAACGCCCCGACCTCTGTGATAGTTGCTGTTTCGTGATGAAAGGTCGCGCGACGATTGGATACCTAGGGCCGTTTCGACCATTTATGCTAGAGGCCAACGGACATACAAGCATGCATACATGCATGCATGCGTACAGACATGCCTGCAGCCATCCATCCATATGTACATACGCCTGTGCGTGAAAGCTCGTACATGCAACCCACGTATATACATACGTGCATGCGTACATACTGTACATGCTTACGGACAGACTTCGTAAGAAACATTCCACGTCCGCTTTTCCAACCAGGAAGCCGCTGCATGCCAGCATAGATTTTGCAGAAAGAAACATTCGCAGCTGTCTCTGCCTGTGTTGTACTGTTCTGTCCCCAGGCATTTGTACATGCATATGTGTATGTGCGCATGCATATATGTATATGTATATGTGTGTATATATATATACAGGTATAGAGATACACTTACGCCACAGTTGGTGTATATGCAGACGTGTGTGTGTGTGTGTGTGTGTGCGCGTGTGTGCATGTGTACATAAATAACTGAATAAATAAATGAATATATATATATATGTGTGTGTGTGTGAATGGATACATGTGCAAAGACAAAGTATACATGATTCGCATAACAAGCCAACCTAGACTGAAAGTGAATACAGTAGGTATGCATAGAGACGTGGTATATGTTTTCTGTGCTTCACTGTTCACCCGGCGCCATCTTGCCTTCTTACTTGCTCTCCCTAGACTCTATTCTTTCCGAGTCTCTCTCGTTCTCCCCTGGAGTTGCCCGTATATTCTATCGTTCTGTTGTTCTCTCTTTCTTTCTCTGTCCATTGCTGTGTTCCCACTTGGTATTTGGATTCGCAATCTCGCACAGGGTAGGCTTTACGACAAGTCTGGGTAAGACATCTGCTCTTTCTCCAGGCCGCTGACCAAAACGACGCCCAACATAACTGAATAGCTGAACGTCAAAATCAACATACCACGATCAGGAAGCCCAGAGCCATCTGACCGGACAGTTGTGCTGCGCTCGCTTCTGGTTGTCCTTTGTGTGTGGTCCATTCGTTGCTGCGTTCTTTGAGCGTTACGTGTGCGTCATTTCCTCGTCATTCGTGGGATTTTGTATGCTACCCATCCTCCACGATGTTTTGCCCAGCATGGCACCTCTAGTTGTGCTCCTTCCAAACCCTGGAATGGGCTCGGTTCGAGTTGAAGAGCAGCAATAATGGTACATGCTTCTGTTTCCCTCTCGTGCTGCTGCTGCTGCTGCTGCTGTCACTCAAGGACTCCTGTGCCAGTGAAGCACCTAGCTTCTGGAGCAGTATAGAAGGCTCACCTTCCCGAAAGAAAAAACGAAGACACGTGCAGACATGTGCAGACCTAAGATGCTTCACACTTAGAAAGGTGTCGAATATTGGCCGTTGCTGGAAATATGTCTACCACTACCGACAAGTTCTGTCTAGACTCATCTGCAGCTCGGTTGCACATGCATTCGCGAAGAATGATGGGCACAGCAGCTTCACCTGCAAGCAAGCTTCTGTAGTTTGGACCGTTTCTTATGCTCTAGTTTCCCAACCGTGACCGTGCTCTGATTTGATCGGATCATGGAAGCACAGCCTCGCGGTGGTCCACCGATATGGATCTTTCTTTGACAAGGCAGTCATCGCTGAGAAGCACCTGATGTGGCCGGAGACAACCCCACCAAATCCTCTTCCACAAAACTTTGCACCCCATGCCTCTAAACGAGCAGACACAGCCATACGAAGTAATGACATGTCCGAATGTACATACATGCATCCATACCTACATCCATGCACACATACATGCCTGCCTGTATGGCTGTGCGTACCTTCTTTCTTGCACTCGGCTACTTTGCTAGTATTGCCAGTCAATGGTAGTCTTCACTCGTAGTACTGCTAGTTATAAATGTTATTGCGAATGCCAGTGTCGCTACCGAAAGAGACTGTTGTCACAGACAAGTTCATGGATCTATCGCCTTGTACAGTGGTGTCTACTAGAATATGCAATCGTATCGCGTATCTGAGTGCGAGTCACAGCTGGGGATCCAACGGCCTCCTGCTCAGTGTCCATGTTTCGGCCGCATGAAAAAATGCATTGGTGCAAGCAGGGTGGAGAAGTATCGTCAGGTTATAATGTGATGTGGAAGTAAAGCTTGTTATGCTGGCATACTACTCGCACACTATGCTGCTTCATGTGAGGGCTGCATAGTACTGGTGTATTCGGATGGCATACCTATCCCGAAGCTCACAACAGAAGGCTACAAACAGTGTCGGCATTGCAATGTATTGTCGCTCGTCAGAGCTGCGAGCCACATGTCGCAAAGCTGCTGCTGATCGACGAAAAACTATCAACATGAGAACAGCTCATTGACATATCTCACAACAGCTACTGCATCACCGTGACCGCCTTCATGCAAGGCGTGTAAAAGGTCAACAGTTGCGGAAAGGCTGTCGCTCATGATGTAGTCAGGCGGTGTAGACAAACACAAACACTGCGGAACAACATATCAGCCTGTGTAAACAACTTGTACAAAACATCTTTATTGCTTTACCCACGGCCAGGTGCCTGCTCACTCCAATCATCTCGTCGAGGATATTGCGGGCGCGGCTTGCCATCCTTGGCACAGGTGGCAAGGTACTGCCATCCAAATTCTGAAAGCAGCACACGGTTTGTGTCATTGACAGTATACAGAGTAAGCAGCTCCTCCGAAAAGGTTGCCCCACCCAGGTACACACGGAAGGAATCTTCTTGCTTGCTTTGTGAAGATAATCTTCTAAGGGAAGAATCAGCAGCTGCATCCACCTACCAGTTTTAAACTCCCACTCGGACTGAGTCAAAGCCGAGCCAGCTGATCTAACCAGTGCTTTCCTGCAGACATGACTGCGGAGAAGCCGTTCCGTAGGATCATGCCAGATGAGCATGTTACATTGAAGCATCAGCCGGGAGCTCAAGCATTTTCAGCTGTGGACTGAACATACGAGGTCTGGCATGTAAATGAACTCTTCCTGTGTGCATGCGGTAGCTTGGGCAAACGCCTTGTACAGGAATTCAAATCCGAGCTGGGACTTTGGATCCCGCCACCTTCCAAACCTGAGCTGAGGGTGCGCTAGCGCCATAATCGAATTCACAGAAGAGCGGCGGCTGACTCTACAACGTCTACAAGGCCTAACCGTTTTGATCCACATACTGAGCATAGAGGCACAGAACACCGCACGGAATGCGAGCCGACGGTAAACAGCAGATCACCAACACATATCTCGGGCGCACATGTGCAAGGACACACCGGCGCTGTGCCAGCAACGGTTCAGGTAGCACTTCCTGGGCAACAAACCATGTAGCTTCTGCACAAACTGAGTCGATGACCAGAAGGTGAGCTCTGCTTCTTTGGCCCATTCATCGTAGGGTGGTATCCATGCCTCTTTCCTCAGTTGGCACAGCTTCCAACTCACGTCATGCCAGCGGTATCGCAAATAATTCGGGTTCCTGCCTTTGTGAGCTGGACTCCTAGAGGAGATGCTGTTCAGCTGCGCATTCGGCATTCAGGAGTCTGCCCCATCTACAAAGTTCGTCTGGAATTGCAGCAGTCAAACTGCTCCCAGGAGCAAGCCTCGTGTGATTCGGTTCGGCCTGTGACAGTAGACAGCCAAGTGGCACCATCACTGCAGCAGCGCAGCCGCTAAGGATTCGACACGAGTCGACAAATCAGCGTTTGAATTTGAGGACACTTTGCGTGTGTGCTCAACGCTTGCCAGCTACACCGGTTTGAGTACGTTTGCCATAGTTTGCCCATAGGCTTGTAACAACCTAGTAACAACTGCTCAACGTAAAGCCTAGGAGACGTAGTAGCAGCATTTCGATCATGCTGTGTCGGCCTGGCGTGCTGAAACGGCATTGGCAACGGCAGCAACTTGATGGCACACTTAACTGTCCGTGCACATGCTCTACTCCATCGTGTCAACTGGTTGCAGATTCGATTCCAGCTCGTGCCACTTTCTCGCTATCTGCTTGGTTCGCACATTCGAGCTGTTGCCCGGTTGTCACGGCCAGTATCAACATCATCTGGCCGGATCAAAGTAGCAATGCCCGAAAGCTTCCCAAAACAAACATGGGACAAGCACGTGGCAAGGGCATCGCGCTGCATCCCGGTGCGCGAGAGAGAACGAAAATTGCTCGGTGAAATTTGCATAGACACGTTTCTCTACTTCACGGGCTGACTTGGTAAGCTTAACCCTTCGGCATCACAAAGAGGTACACCTCCATGGATGTATTCCTAAGAAATTGAAAACATGGCGAGCACACGCCTTGTGTGCACACTCCTCCTTACGTTCAATGATCAAACGCACGTTGCAGCCTTACAGAAGCATTTCTCATACCTTCTCACAACCTCTCTATATCGGCGTGCTACCGCTGCTTGCCCGCCTGGGGCGCTGTGCTTGCTTCATGCCAAGGTGTGCTCTGGAGGGCTTATTCGCAGAAACTTGCCACTTACTCTCGACCTGGGCGTTTTGAGGGCCAAGATGACGGCTTCGTGTGACATTGTGAATGCTGTGCTCGACACTTTGCGAGCTTCGGAAGTGCTCCCATCTTCCGAGGTGAGAACTACGGATCACCAACGACGTCACTCTGTCAGTGTCGACCTGCTCTTCGTCACTGTAACCGTTGTCGTGGTCATTTTGTGCTGCACTAGGCTCCGCACGCCGCGACCGCAGGCGGTGGCCGCCCCGACGCCTGGAGACTCGGTGCAAGCGCTTGCGCCGCCGATCCTGGCCATAGTAGGCTGTGCAGCAGCCGACAGTTCCTTATGCATGTTCTGCTGTGTCTTGTGTGATTCTGTTCTGTCTTAGCTTGGGTCTGTCGTGTGTAATGTCATAGCTTGAAGCCACGATCTCGTCAACTCGATATCTGTGAATCAAGAGGGCAGGCATTCCGGCGATTCACATGATGATTCTGTCCGATTTTTAGCTGCAGGTGTAGGAGATGACATTGACAGCAAAATCATCAACATAAAAAACTCGCTGCATAGCACCAGCAACCAGTCTCTGCTAAGTTGGTAGAATATTGCTGCCTCGTCGTCGTCATCTCCTTGGCGTGCATCCTCGGACGACGACTCTGGGAAGGTCATGTCCGCATAGCGCCGCTGAATATCGGTTTGGATTATCCCTCGCATGCAAATCTTACGTCTGGCAAGTGGTATACTTGCTCTCCAACGACGTGTTGCGATTTCGGTATGTATCCCATGCTCTGTTGCAGTCTTTTCAGGCACGGACCCGGAACCGCTTCGTGAAGAAGCGGCGTCCGCCCCGTCGCAACAAAGCATCCTGAATGTGTCTGGAGGAAACGCCATCGCTGCCGTATCAAGTACAGTATTGCCGCTTCCTGCTGCTGCTGCTGCTGGACCTGCTACTGCTGCCACAACTGACTGCAACTACTACTGCTACTACTACTGCTACTACTACTATTACTACTACTACTACTACTACTACTACTACTACTACTACTGCTCCTCCTCCACCTCCTGCTGCTGTTGCTGCTGCACTGCTACTGTGCTACTGCTATTACGACTACGACGACGACTACTCCTACTAGTGCCACTGCTACTGCTATTACCACCGCTACCACCTCCGCCTGTTCCTACTCCTACTCTTACTCTTACTGCTCCTGACCCTACTGCTAGTGGTATTGCAGCTGCTACCACCATCACTCCTCTTGCTGTTGCTACTACCTAGTGCTTGTACTACTACTACTACTACTACTACTACTGCTGCTACTATTACTGGTACTACAGCTACTGCAACTGCAACAACAAAAGCAACACCAAAAACAACAATTATTATTGGACGCTGAGCGAGCGGGCTCTGCTCATTGCGGGCGTGTGAGACTGCCTTTGCACCTGAGCAAAGGTCTGAGAGCAGAAATGCAAAGGGCCTGGGCCTGAGAGCACTGAGAACAGGCTAACGTAAGGAGAGAGCTACCCTACAAGCTACATCAGAGGCCAGCTCATATTACTCAGGCGTGGGTGAGAAACCCTCCGACACCCTCAGTGTGGACTATGGCGTCCCATGTCCACGAACCAATGATTGATGAGCCGTACCCCGCGGGACCGTCACTCAGAGTGCCTGTTGCGTGGCGTCCCACTCATGGTCACTCTCAATCAGAGGCGATGGGCCGTAAGGTCGTAAAGGTGATGAGCACGTGGAACGGCTGCTAGTGCTGTTATCTGAGGTAGCTCCGCTTTTGTGGGCAAGCAGATTGCATCGGTGAACGATGTGGCACACCCTGGCGGTTAGCACACTGTGCCTAATAAGGCCGATTTCAGCCATTGGTCAGCTGTGTTGCTGACAGGCGTTGCCTTTCTGGAAAAGCAGCGAGCGTTGCCCGACTAGCATGACAGGTATAGGCCGCTATTGCACACAAACGCTGAGTAGAAGAGCTACGTCAGCCGTACAACTTGAGCAGCAAAACTGAGTGACAGCGTTCCTGCTCCCTGCCGTGCAGGCAGGTCGGTCCCACGGAGCCAGTGGGTCGCCCCCTCCCTGTCAAAGGAAGTAGGGGCCCCTGGCCGCAGGGGAACCCTCAGCTTAATCATCAGAAACATGGACTGGCATAGGGCCAGCCTCCGCTGTGCGCGGTAATGAACCAAGTCGCACTAACAGCACATAACAGCCGTGGCGTGCTTGCCTGAGATCGGAATCGGAGGCCGGAACCGACGGACGACCATCGTCCGTGCTGAACCAAGGTTGATCGGGGTTGCTCCTCCAAAGGGAGCGATAGTGTCCACTGTGCGGAGTGTCTCCTATATGAAAGACACAGGACTGGACCCATCCGTGCTCTAGTTGAACGGAGCCCGTCGGGGCCCACTGCGGGAGCTGAACAGGGCGATGTAGACCTGTTACGGCATAACTGAGCTTGCGACCTTCAACGAATCGTGCCACCGAGAGAACCACCAGCCGTTGCTTCCCTCGAAAAGCAGCGTACACTGGCTGACCGGACCACCGAGAGATCAGCTCCTGGAGTTCGTGAGAGCCAGCTGCAGTCGGAGCCGGCAGCAGGGCGAGCGGACCACCCTCATC